ACAAATTACGATAGGGTATTAAGTTTTTTTTTTTTTTTTTTGCTTTATGTACATGCATTTGTTGTATTGATTCCTATGTATTAACTATTTATCAATAAGTTTTTCGAATCATACACCAAATTATTGAATTCGAATAATTATGTAACTAAGCGACAGTCTTTGAAGGTATGTTTATAGGTAATTATCGATTTTTTGATTGTCGGTTAATTCGGGTTTTATTTAGCTACTCGGCGAAATTTTATTGGATCGTTGCAATTTCAATGTGATGACTCGATATATCGCGAACGCAGAGAATTTGAAATTAATGATGAATTTATTGAAAGATAAAAGTCGTAATATTCAATTTGAAGCTTTTCATGTGTTTAAGGTGTGTATAAATTCTTATATAAACCGTCAGGTAACCGATGGGTCATTATCAATAACGTAAATATCTCAATTCTAGATATTTGTAGCCAATCCAAACAAGAACAAATCAATTTCCGACATTTTATGGAAAAACAAAGAGAGACTAATCCAATTCTTGGGAAATTTCCATAACGAACGTCATGGTTTGTTTGTTTGCTTGTTATATGATGATTGTACGTGCATCTTTACATTTGTTAATGTGTTATATGTCCTTATCATAGATGATGAACAATTTAATGATGAGAAGGCATTTTTACTTAGGCAAATTCAAGACTTGAAATGCTCAAATGACTTAAAAGACTGAGTAGGAGTATTGATTGGGCTAGCGGGGTTGTGGGAGATTGGGCTGCGTCTAGGGTTTCGACCAACCCACCTAGCATCGCCGCCCAAATCAGTTACGTACGTAATAGTAGTTTAAAAATTAGAACTGATTTATTTTATAGTTAGCCACTATTAGAGCAACCTCATGATCTTCAAAATCAAAATTCGAAATTGAAGATTTATATAATTGCAAAAAGAATTTATTAATAATATATCTATTTCATCGGAATAAAAAATTCTACGAACCCATGAATTGGTTTTTAATTTTATAGCAATTTAATAGAATAATGAAATCATGTTCTAATAATTTACATATTTCAACAATTATTTATTAATTTCGATATTTTGAAGTCTTTTTTTTTTATTCGGAAGCTTACAAGACTAATAAATGTCCAATATCTATTTTATTTATGTAAAATAAGCTAATGTATCTGGTTTAGCGAATTATTACTAACAATTACCGTAGAACGCTGCATTCAATACCCCCAGGATTTAGACACTGATATATTTCAATACTATCATGAAAAATTTTGACTTATACCCGGTTATAAATTAAGATTGCGAAACTATAAAAATGAACCTCTGCTTGAATTGTACAGTACCCTCCTCTTCACTCAGTGCTCAGTGCCCCCGGGTACAAATCAAGTTAATTGGGGTGTTTTTGATACCCCGGGTACTGATGCAGTGCTCTACAGTATTTAAAATTACATCAAGGTCTATTTGTTAAAAGTTTATAATACAAGTCAACTGCTAATAATACGCATGTATGTTCTTCATTACTTTCATTCAGTAACAATAAACATAGAAATAGATATGCACCTGGCTAAAATTAAGCCCCTGGAATTTG